TGCCGTGGATTGCTTCAGACCCCCACTACTACCCGCTGTCACAGCCATCCACAGACTTAAGAAGAGCCACTTAAAGTCTGCTGGCATTTCACAAAGGAAGTGTGTGTATGTGATGCTTCTAGATGTGGGGAAGAACAGGAAAAGCAAATGCTCAGCTTCCGTCAGTGGCCCCCAGGCAGGTATGAAAGGCACCACAGGGACTAGGTAGGCAGTTCTCAACAGGCCAGGGCCACCCAGGCGATGTTTTAGGCCTCAGAGGTGGGGCATAACATCTTTAACTTTAGCAGTTACCAACCGGTACTTGTAGCATTTAATTCTGGGGAGTGAGAGATGACATAATATAATGCATGCCACGATCCCACGTGACTCGCCATCACTCCCCGACCATGTCTTTAAATGTGTTACCACACATTCATGTGGGTCAGAGCTCTCCTTATAAATATCCAAGCTCAGAACCTAAATCACATAAAACACAAAGTAAACCCAACTCTAGTATCCCACCCTTGGCTTACCGAAGTCTATAAAAGAAAACTAGGTTGCCGCTGCGCCCGCGCGTGCGTGTGTGCACACACACTGCTTCCGTAGCTTACTAACAAAGACAGGAAGCAGATAGTTTATCACTGTAAATAAAAGGAAGTTTGCGAGTGTTAATAAAAGGCCAATGATTAGAGTTAGGAATTATGTATGCCTCCTAAAAATTTACTCACAGAAATTGGAAGTGAAGTATTTTAAAGGGAAGTGAGGGTAAGAACATCATCACTATTGCCTCTGTGACCCTGCAACCAGAGAAGGACTGTCATAGGGTTTCACTACCTAAGGAGAGATAAAGGCCAGGCCCGGCCCTGGACAAGGGATGTGTGACGTCTGGAGGGTTTAGCAGCTGCTACGACCATTAGCAACAGCGGAGCTGCCCTGTCTTCCTTATAAAAAAGACTGTGCGGTGGATTCAACGTGTGAATGATGGAATTTAGTCATGCAGATCACTCACCACATGCCAGGCGAGGAGGACTCTGATGACAGAGCTAAAATCAGTTGGCTGCTTTCGGTGGCTTTGTTTTTCTATCTCTAGGGTGGACACATGGCTACTGACCAATGGCCACTCGGCGACTATCCCGAAAATAGCTAAATGACCGCAGGTTGCCAGGCAGCTACATTCTGATGTCATTCCCCCCAAATGCCATCTCCTCCTCCCAGTACCTTCCAAGTAACCATGGCATGTACGCAGCAATCAAGTGTTTCAAAAGACTTAGGTTCATATTTAGAACTTGTCTCTTCGTAAGAAAACAGTCTTGGAAAAAAAGATACATCAGCAGCACCTTTTCACGTTGGAAAGGGAGCACAGATTCAAACACATCCTTTCTATCAGTTAAACTTAACCACTGCTCTTTAAAATGATTATCAACATAAAAATAAAAACATTTGCTGATAGAAAGTCAGCGTTGACTGTAATTTTTATTGTAATAATGCTGGGGAAGTAGAACCTGACGTCAGGTTAGTATAAGAAAGCAAAAACTGTGGAAGCATTCAGAATGAGAGCAGTCAGCCTTCATCCTGCTTGTGACCCGGCAGGACTCCAGTTTAGAAACACGGAGCTCTGATAGGGAAAGGCTGTGTTCTGGCAGCAGAGAAACTGCCAGTACTCAGCATCTGGGGATTGAAATCTCGTTTTAAAATTGATTATTATAATTGTGTGGAATCCTTCGAATACCAGCTGGGAGACTGTGGCAGGGTTAGGTACCCACTTCGGTTACGGAGCTGAAAATATCAAGTTACTCAAACCGTATTTGTCAGCTTAACACGGCCGGGTTCCTCTGCCTGATGACCACCCTGCCTTCGAAGCGTCCATTTCCTTGTTCAGGATTCAGTGAGACCCGCCTTTAGACATCTTTATTCTCTTCCAAGTGTGCCTGCATGATAAGCAAGCTAGAACTCACTAAGTTTTATGTCTGTCAGTAATGCACAATATGACCAGTTACTTGATGATCATTAAACCCAATGTTGTTTTCAAATTAGTAGGAACTCTGCTGCTAGGTTTATTCTGTGTGGTTTTTGGTTTTGTTTTATTTTGATTTCCTTTTTGAGACAAGGTCTTACTATGTAGGCATGACTGGCCTGGAACTCACTATGGAAAACAGTCTGACCTCAACTCAGATAGGCCTGCCTCAGATTTATGAGTGCTGGGATTAAAGGTGTATACCACCACGCCCAGCTTGATTCTGTACAATTTTTAAATGAATTCCTAAGAAGAAATCTTGCTGAGATACATTTGCTTACTTACTTTTTTTTATTACTGAATTTCTCATGATCAGTGCTCTTTCCAATTATTATTATTATTATTATTATTATTATTATTATTATTATTATTATTACTTGGTTTTCTCAAGTTAGGGTTTCTCTTTGTAGCTTTGGCTGTCCTGGAACTCACTCTGTAGACCAGGCTAGCCTTGAGCTCAGAGATCTGCCTGCCTCTGCCTCTCAAGTGCTGGGATTAAAGGTGTGTGCCACCACTGCCTGGCTCCAATTAGTATTATTTAACTGCTTTAAAATGAATGAATCTAAAAATGGGAGAAGGGGGACAAACAGCTTGATTTACACCCTTTGTGGAAATCCTCTCCTAGCTGTGGCATTTACTGTATTCTCTCCCCGTCTCTTCTGCAGCTCTTTACCCACCTGCTAACCAAGGGTTCTCCCTGTCAGCTCGCCCTCTGTGGCCAGGATTAGCCTCTGGCATTGATGGTTATTACTCTTAGAGGCAAACTGTTTTCAATATCCAATAAAGAAAAGAAACTATGAGAATGGAATTGGGGTGAGAAGGTTCTTGTTTGGTTTGGTGTTTAGGGGTGTTGGGGTTTTTTTTTTATTGGTTTATTTTTTTTTTTGGTTAATTTGTTTTTTAATTTTCACATATATCTGCATATATGTCATATGCATGTGCATGCTTACATGTGTGTGATACTGGTGAAGGGTCCAAGGCTGACATTGGTGGTCTCCCTCAGGCACTCTAGCTTATCTACTGAAGTAGGATCTTGCAGTTGAACCCAGAACTCACAGATTCAGCCAGACTAGCTAGTCAGCTTGCTCAAGGGGTCCGCTTTGTTGGTCTTCTGAGGGTGCTGGAATTGTAGGCTGCCACACCCACCCAGCATTTACATGGGCTCTGAGGACCCAAATCTTGGTCCTCACACGTCACAGTCAGCTCTTCACCTGCTTAGCCATCTCCCCCACCCTCCAGTTTATGTTCTTAAGAAGCAAGTAGCCTCTTTAGATCTTTTGTGGGGTAATTTGGATGAAAAATTGTTCTGGCCTGTTTTCTCAGCCATCATTTTCTGATCTGTGGATGAAATAAATTGTCCTTACTCTTCAGAATTCAAATCAAGATGACCCTGCAGTTCTCATAGGCTTCTTTAAAAGAATGAAAAGGGCATTCATTGTCAATTTGAAACACTATAAGGGGACTTTTTGTGTATGTTGTGTGGGTTTTTGTTTGTTTGTTTGTTTGTTTGAGATAGGATCTCACTATGTACCCCTGACTGGCCTAGAAGTCAACTCACAGAGTTCAGCCTACCTCTGCCTCCCAAGTGCTGGGATTTAAGGCTAGGGACACCATGATCAGCCTTTACGAGAAGACTTTGAGAGATATTCTGGAACTATAAAAATTTAGCTTTTTTTTTTTTCTCATTTCCAAATTAGTACAACATTTGGTATTTCTGAATCAGACATGGTGGTGTCCACCTATAATTCCAACACCTTGGGATCAGCGGCAGGAGGATGGCCACAAGTTTGAGGAGTTTGGAACAGTCAGGACTATCTAGTGAGACCCTGTTTAAAAAAGCAAAAACGGGAGCTGGAGAGATGGCTCAGAGGTTAAGGGCACTGACTGCTCTTCCAGAGGTCCTGAGTTCAATTCCCAGCAACCACATGGTGGCTCACAACCATCTGTAATGAGATCTGGTGCCCTCTTCTGGCCTGCAGTCATACATGCTGTATACATAATAAATAAATAAATCTTTAAATAAATAAAAAAAAAAGCAAAAACGAACAACAAAGAAGTAAAAGATACATAACAACAACAGAGCCCTTTGTGGTTTTGGATCTATCTCTTTGCTCTGGTGAGCCGGTTTGGACAGGTTGGTTTAGCAGAATGAAACATTGGGTGGGGCGGGGAGGCATGCGGGTTTCAGAAAAACCTTCCTTAGTGGTAAGTACAAAGTTTTACTTTGGTCTGCTGTGTGTGAATGTGTGAGGACCCGGAAGAATTCTTGACTTTATCCTATCCCTTGAGAGCAAAGTGGGCACTTCTGCACACCCCGGCTGTGTGAAACTGATTCAGTCAAGGGTTGGATCTTTTCCTCCCAGTGGTCAGGACCAGGATGGAAAAAGACTCGAGAGTCTCTATGCACATGTGTAAATCGGGTAGTTTATCTAGACTCATCTAGGCACCCTTAAGCGCTTGTACCTTTGGCTCCTCTTCTTTCTTCTAGAAGATCCTTCCCTAGCCCTCAGAAATGTCCACTAGAAATTTAAGGGAGCGAGAGAATAAGATCACCGGCATTGGTTTCTTTCTGGATTGTCTCGTGTGGTTGATGGGAGCCATACTTTGTCAGGGTCACACAGCAAAGCTTACATGTCTCACAGGCGCTAGAGTAAGTGGAATCTTTTTGGGCTCTTTTGGCACCGTTTCACAACACTGCCTGCCCTGGGGTACATGTCATTCTTTCTCCGACTTCGGAAGAGCGCCCCTGCTGTTGAGGGCAAAGTTGGAATGGGGGCTCGCCAGCAGGTCACCCGCACCCAAAGAAAACCCTCCCGGGTCACAACATATAACCCTGTTAAAGCAACAGCTGTGGACAGAAAGTCTTAGGAACACCCAGACATGACTGTTCATATAAATTCCACTGAATGCCTCCCAGTTCATCACTTAGTAGTTTGGTAGGGAAAAAAAGGTCCTGATATAATTATTAACATATCTCTCTTCTTTTTTTTTTTTCCTCTCTCTTCAGATCAAAAAATACTTTGAACTTGAACCACTTGCTCGTGGAAAACGCTGGATTCTGCAGCCCTGCTCGGTAGATGACATGGACGCACTGAAAGACAGCTTCTCTCAGCTCATAAACTTGTTAGAAGAAAAAGACCTTGAGGCGATGAGAATATGAAATCTGACACAAAAGATCCCCGAAAGCCTTGAACCCATCATGTTAGTTTCCCGTTCTGATTTCATGTTGGTGTCAAGACTGTCATGGCTGCAGTATCTATTTTCCTCTAGCTATTTCAGACTTTCATCTCTCTGTTAAAGTGACTGTTCTGTACATCAGGTGAATTAGCATTGGCATTAACGTCAAGTACACACTACTGAAAGAGAATTTGTTCTCTGTTTACCACTAATAATCTTCATGGCATGTCTCTTCCTTCTGTTGGTCTAAGACTCTCTTCCATACTTTGTGCTAAAGTGGATGGAGCTCACAGCTCATGGGAATGAAACCCCTTCTGAAGAAAGAAAGACTCACATGTCTTCACTAATTCTCCCTGGGCTTGAGATGGGAGGATTATAACTGACTCCACATGATGTGTATGCCATTTCCATTTCCATGATCTCTTAGGGGTTTGAGTTTTTTACATTTTATTTTATCTTGTCTGTCATTCATATTAGTGTGTGTGTGTGTGTGTGTGTGTGTGTGTGTGTGTGTGTGTGTATGTGTGTGTGTTGACTTTGTAGGCTATGAGTGAACGATGACCACCCAGAGCTTCACCCAATCATCTTTTCATAAACCTAGCCCTGCAGGACCTAGAAAGCAGATGTGCACTGATTGTGTGATTCTGCCTGCAGCCATGTTCCCTCCCTTAGGAGGAGGGCATCCTAGTTGAGAGAGTCGGAGCAAATGTAGGCAAGTACAGGCATCACTGATTCCCATTTGATCGAGTCCGCAAATATTTCTTAATGGAGTCATTAGTCTGCAAAAAAACAAGCTGCGACATAAACATTTGCTTTTTCTAAAAAGTCAGAAATGTTTGAATGAAATCAAGAAAATGGCGTTTCAAATAATAAAACCTAAGAGCCAAAGTTTAATTCACGGTTAGGATTGAAGCTGGCATGGATTGGCTCAAACTCAAAGACGAATCCTATTATCTACTCATCAAGTGCTGATGTTGCTGAGGGGGTCCTGCTTAGGCCTCCACTTAGTAGTTACAGGTCTGTCAGTATTGCTGTTATAAACCTCTATTTTCAGGGGTGTCAATGTGCCCTTAGAGTATGCTGGGCTACAGCAAATTCATTGGGGGCCTAGACTCAGTCTTTGGAACTAATTTTTTTCCACTTAATTTAAATGATAAAATTGCATAGAACAATGTACAGTTTTAGTAAGATTTAACACCTTTGACCTTTTCTAAATCAGGAATAATCTATGAATATTGACGTTCATGGGTGAAATATTTATTGGCACATCTTGCAAACTTCTGACTACTTATTAAGTATATACTAAGTGGCCAAATGATAGAAAACTGCTCCGTACACCCAAGCAATAAAAATGTGTCTGTCATTTTTAGGTAGTATAGACTGATAGCCTAGACACCACAGACTCAGTGCCGCATTTATCACAGGGTGACGGAAAACCTGTGACTCTCTAGAGGATAGTCTTCAAACCCCTCACAGTGCTCAGATGTAGCATTTGAGATTTCATCTTGTAAATGGATTTTAATAAAACAGTCCCACACTTCTTTAAGTGTATGTATATATATATATATATATATATATGTATATATATCATACACCAGAGAAGGATCCATGATGACTCACTTTGTCTAAAGTATCCCTGAATATTTTCAACACCGTGTGATAATCCACGGGCAGCACAAACCTTTAATTCCAATTGACCAGTTACACAATTCCTGTTTTTATTTTGTCCTCTCTTGCTCATCTTCCGTGAAAAGAGATAAATAAATAAATGATTTTTTTTTTTATCCTCCAGGCTTCGCTCTGCCTGCAAGTTCATTAAATGTAGAATGTTGTCTTTTGGAAGACACTGTGGCTGTGTGCTCCTTACCATCTGTTAAATGACTTCCCGTTGCCTGTGTGTGTTCGTGCGCGTGCGCGCCGGCAATGGGCTTCTCTGCAGCAGCCCGGAGACTGTCTGCAGCGTCGCAGCCGTCAGAATGAAAACATGATCAATCAGTACCCAACAACAGCTGTTTTTGACAAGTTTCTGTCTGACGCCTAATGCTTTACAACTGTCGATAAGGCTCTTTCTTTGTCTGGCAGGTCGGAGCGCGCTGTCTTCCCGCTCGTCTTGGCAACCAGTCTCTGTAACCCTAGAATTTGCCGCGTTTGGGAAAACACGCGTGGGGGAGGGGAGAGGGAAGGGAAGGGGCTGTGCGGTCTTGTTCTTACTTCCATGTAAAGTGCCACAGGTGTCTTAGTTTGCATATTCAGATACATAGGAAAACAGTCTGTTGTGTATTTCTTCAGTTAGCATCTTGTTATATTTATGGAAGTGGCCCATTTTTTGTACCTTCTTAGCTGAAGCAGTTGCCTTTTTTTATACTGGCAATTAATTTATATAAGACTTTGTATCTACCGTAGTTTACAGTATTGGTTGCTGGGTAACTGCCATATTACCCTGTCTTTCTATTGAGATATATATATAATCTATACTTAAAAGTTGACAGGTTCATGTGGACATTTGCTAGGCAAGGAGAACTCTGCCTCGTCCGTGATTTATATGATTTCCACTCTCTTGGAATGAAAATAAATGCTTAGTAGAACTGGTGTTTCCAGACTGACTCTTTTCAGCCTTAGCATTTGAGGGCCCCAGACTTCTGTTTACTTTGTGTGGCCTGTTTAAGTCTTCAAAATCAGTTCTGCTGCCGCTGAGTCAAAACAAATGATGAAGACGTGTTTCTTTTGAAGCCATTGTGAGAACCTTGAAAGAAAAAGAAGCCAAGTGTCTTTTCCTGTTGGTTCTATTTGAGCATCTAAACACTTTCCTAGGAGCCATTCCTTCCGAGAGGGAGAGTGTGGAGATGTGGTGTGTCACCCTTCAGTCAAAGGCTTGTCCTCTATCATCTGTCCTGAAAGCTACTTCCTGCAAGTGGAATGCAATGAACTATTTCTTCCAATGGTTTTTGATGCCCGTAGGGAATCAACTGGTGGATAGTCTTAATGAATTTAGGAAGATGTGCTGTACATTTATGTGTCCATCCTTAAGGATGAGAATGGGAAAGTAAATTTTGAAAACAGATGGATAGAAGATGAGAAAGAAAGAAAAAAATGGTTAGGGGGAGTTATATGATAAAAGAGGAAACTCAAACTCTGGCTCGTGTTTCTTCCAAGCACAATATTATCCTGACAAGTACCACTTACGCCCAGAGAGTTTGAAACACTTTCTTCTGAGTTTGACACCTACCTTATCATCTCAGACCTACCTAAGCAAGTGTGGACAGAATGCAAGAATTTGAAGCAAATGGGTGATTGCTCATGTCCAGATCGCAGACTCAGACTCAAGGGGAAATGTAATATTCATGCTACCTTGCCCCAGTGTTAGAAGGCATCTTCATTAGTCTGACAAACGTAGCAAACCAAAATGAAAATGTATGTGGGGTGATGGGGCTGGGAATGAGGATCGGCTCTTGGGGGCCCGAATTTCAGTGTCTGGAAGGGAGGAGAAGTCTTTATTATGCAGAAAGTTTGTTGTGCCGGTCCGGTCCCCTGCCTTCCCTTGTTCTGCAGCCTGAGTCGGAAAGATCTGAAGTTCAGGCTGTAAAGTGTATTACCACATCTTGTAGGGGAATTCCTGACTCCTAAGGGTGCACAACTTTTGGTCAGCACTGAGTCAGTGTGAGTAAATGATTTGCATCTCTGGGCTAAATGTTTCCAACTCAGATGCCTGAATTGACAGATGAGCCCAGGTTTTGGTACTGCCCACCCCCACCCCCTCCCACTATTGCAGAAGTATGCAGAGTCCCAGAAGGACTCAGCCTCAGATGGCAGATCCATTTCCCCTCCCCTTTCTTGGAATTAAAAACCTTACATAAAAAGCTCCCCCACCCCAACCAAACCCTGCTGTTTCATCAGACTTGGAGATTCTAACTTCCCACCATGAGGGGTTCTTAGTGACAGCCTCTTCCTAATGTGACTTTTCGTGAAACCAAGGTAGAGTTTCAAAGCCACAGAGAAGAATCTCTCCAGCCTATGTCGTGTCTAGCATCATGCTTTTCTACAAAACAGTGGAGTAAGGCTCACAAGACTTCACCCCGTTTCTTCTGTAAGGACATCAAACACTCCTCTGCTCCGTGAGTGGTTAGCTATTCAGGGAGCCCTAGTTTCAAAAGGCCACCTACAGTCTTCTCAGACTTCCTTCTTGTCCTTTCTTAGGCATTTCCATGGGCCACAATAATCACTTTACAAGACACTACTGTTGGCCTTGTGGTTTTCAAAGTGAATTTGCTTGCCCTATATATTTTGTTAACTTTGCATATGTACTTAGTGAGGTCACAGGTACCTGTGTGGGGGGAGGGGGAAGGGGGTGGGAAGAAATTTTAGACCGAATGCCTTGTTGGTCTCAGCCAGGTTTCCATCCCAGTCTGACCCATGACCCCTCTTTTGACTCCTGATGCTCTAGACCATCATGGCCAACATGGCTGTGTCCATTGAATGACACCTTTGAAAAAAATTATCTGATGTAGACTACCAAAGAATGGAGAATTTCCTTGTTCCTTTTTCAAAAATCTCTTACTTTGCCTGATGCTTTCAAAATACTCTACACAAATATTTCAGTGAGGAAATATTCAGCGTTCTAGCCATGGAGATGAGTAGGCTATGTGTTCCCTAGAGGGATTTAAAAAAAAAAAAAAAAAAAGCTCTCTAAGGACAACAAAATAAGCCTTGAATAGCCATCAGGTTCTCAAACCCACCCCACCCCGTTCCACCCCCCACCCTCCAACCCCTGCTTATTTCCCTGCTTCCTTGTGGACACTGGGAGTTGTTTGAAAACGCCTTAGATCATTTACATCCCAGCCAGCCTTCCCAAAGGTGTGAAATCCAGCCTCACATGCTGCAGCCCCTCTGACAAGTGATTCATTGAGACCCGGGCTGGAGCTCCAGCATCAAACAGATGTCAGACGGAACACCAAATGCCTATAAATGATTGCTTTGCAAGCAGTGGAATGACTGCAAGACCTGGCCTAATGATGCTCCCCATGTCTGGACAAGTTTACAGAAGACGTGGGGGTGGGGGAAAGGGTTTTAAACAGACTCTGGGAAGAAGGCTGTTTCTGGGGTGAGAAATGAAGCCTCGGTTCTCACCTGAGAGGCTCCTGTCAGATTGAGTGGTGTCTGGTTGGCTTGTGGGCAGTGGGTAAGGGTCCATCTGAAGAGTGCGTGCGTGGCAGGGACACCCCACAGGCCAGAGCGGTGTGATGCACTAAATCATTAGATGTAAATAGCTGAGTAAATTAAAAAAAACGAAGTTGGGTCGGAACGGAAACTGCTCACCAAAAGGCAAAGGCAGGAATGCAAACAGTAAGTCTGGCTGTCATTCTCTGGACTCTGGAGCAAGTCAAGCTTGGCCCTGGTCGTTCTCCGGTATTTTACAGCTTTCTAGACATGGAACACTCTGAAAGCAGCTTCAGCGGGGTTTCTGAAGTGACAGCTTGTCCAGGCTTCACTTACTATTCTTCTTTTTCGGGGGTTTTAGTTCATGATCAGGACTTGGGACTTTAGTAATTTTAGGGCATTTGTTCACTCCTTCACACCTACTGTGTGCCAGGAATTGCATTAGATGCCAGGAATACAACAATGAATGGCCAGCTTAGTTTTCTTTCGCCTTTGTAGAATTCTAATTTCTGTAACATTGAGTTAATTGGATTATTTTTGTGAGCCTAGACACTGAGTGGGCATTTTCTACATTAAAATATTTATTCTTGTTCCTAATTCCTGACTTTCAGTCCTCCTAATTTGGAATTATTTTTTAATACCATTTAGTATCTCGTGAGACCACTCGTAAAAGCAGAGACTTAAACATATGCATACACATATAGAAAGGGCTATGTCTTCACAGGCATAGAGGAGCATGCATTTAATCCCAGTACTCAGAGGCAGAGGCAGGCAGATCTCTGCTAGTTCAAGGCCAGGCTGGTCTACAAAGTGAGTTCCAGTACAGCCAGGATTATACAGGGAAACCCTGTCTCAAAAAACCAAAGGTGGGGAGGCGGGGGTGGGGGGTGGGGGGTGGAGGGGGTGTGCTTTGCCTCTGCTAGCATCTTTCTAAACAAAACCTTACAAAGCTGACAGTATCTCTTCAGGTTGACTGCTACAAGCGTGTGCCTAACACAGCAAAGTGCTCCTAACATCCAAACCACACTGCCAGCAGGGAACTGACAATTTGGCTTAGTGTGTATGTGTTTGTTGTGTCTGTGTATGTATATGTGTATATATACAACTGGGGTGTCCTGATGTGGTCAATCAGCTTAGATTTCCAGGCTGAATCACAAAAAAGCCAGGGCTGTACAGAGAAACCCTGTTTCAAAAAACAAAAAAAAAAAAAAAAAAAAAAAAAAAAAAAAAAAAAATGACCAGAAATAGAAACATCTCTATTTCCACTTCCTTTCTGGTATTAAAAATCACTCAAATTTTTAGGTAAACAAAAGGAACCATATGAAAATAGATTTATTAAAATGTGTGAATTTGTTGGAGTTTGGGTCCTGAAAGGATAATGGACCTGGGCAATGATTCTCAGTGTCTACTTACATTAAAAGAAGGAAGCAGGCAGACATGGTGTACCCTAGATGGTCTTTACTCCCACCCAGGGAGTTGGACCAACTTCTGGATGTAACTAATAATTTGCATAGGAAACAGAATACGATGCTTGTTTGATGGCACATGAGATAACCAGACTCCAGACTATTGGAAATATGACTGACAAATGAATTGATTCTTAAATAAATGACAAGAAAGAAGAAAGACCAACGGAACACCGTGTATTAAAGTCTAAAGAGTCCTATCAGAGTTGGAGCATGTGTGGCTTGTTTGAATTTTGCTTTTCAGTCACAAACACGTAAAACTAAAATGTGAGATGATTGTAGATGAATTGACGTACCTGGATGTTGTGTGCGTTAAAGAATCTCATTCATTAGGATTTTTTTTTAAATATGTGACCATGGAATTTGCATCTTATAAAAGAAACTTTTATAATCAGTGGTGTATGACAAGATATTTATGGATGAGTTACTATGATAGCCAAGGTTTACTTCAAAATAATCTATTAAGGAGAGGAGAGCAGAAAGAAATGGGATAGTGAGTCTTATCTAATGCCACTACAATCAAATGGTGGCGACAGGGCTCCAGATACTTTGACATTTTCTCCCAAGAAGTTTGGGCGAGGAAGGTAGGCAGGATGGGATGGAGGAAGTTAACAGGATATGTAATAGAAAATGCCGGCAATGCAAAACCATATTGCCTGAGTATATTCACAATTGCTAGCAAGCAGAAGAAAAAGTCAATTTAGTGGAAAAGTTAGCAAGGGACTTGAAAAGGTACTTCACCAAAAAAGGGGTAACCCGGGGGCCATGACCATTGTCATCAGTCAAGTACAAATAAGAACTGCTGCAGTATAGTACTGTACCTCATCTGGATCAACAAAATTAAAGACGATACAAAGAAAAATAAGAGAATAACGGCGTCCATCTGGCATATCAATCACCACTGAGAATGCGTGTCCTGCATCCAAAAAGGACGTTTGTAGCATGCTGACTGGTCCCTGTTTTTG